CGTGAAAATATTGTCAATTTTACGTTACTACAGACCTTTCATCATCATCATCATCATTAGCCTATTAATGTCCCCACTGCTGGGGCACAGGCCTTGCCTATGGATGGAATAGGGAGATATAGATACAGACCTTTAGTTTTCTTAATTAGATATCGTTGCTGTACAGCGAAAACCCTACAAATCATGGGCCCATGGGGACCAAACGCTCGTTCCCCTTTTAAGGAATTGTCAAAGAGGGTCACCGAAGTGACTGGTGATCAAAAGGCTGGCAGCTATCTTGGTCAAAGGATCAGCCTTGCCATCCAACGCGGAAATGCTGTCAGCCTATTGGGCACCATTCCTGATAGCGGTGCTGGGGGTGATATATTTTTTATTTTGTAAATTATTTATTTATGTAGGTAAGTAGGTTAAGCTATGTTGTTTTTAAGTTTGTGTTATTTTAAAATATTGTAATATAATTCAGAATAAATAAGAAAATTTATTCAAAAAAAAGGCCTTAATCGTTTTACTTTAGTCGCTAATAAATCAAATTGGTTATTATATTATTAATAAAAGATAATTATTTCATGTTGCTCTTTACTCTTTATTTTTTACTCTTTTGATAAATATATTTTTACTTAGGTGTAGTTTGTGAAGTTGGGACGTGTAAAGTAAGAAACTTGACTCTACATGAGATCAGTACCTCTAGCACGAACCATTATCGAATAGTTTGCAAACCGATATGTCAATGTAAAATTTTGTATGGAGACTTGAACGGCAGCGGCACAAAGTACGTAACGAGAACTAAAATTCAGTACACATTTAGCAATGACATTTCAGACTCGCAAACGATACGAATTCGATATTGGTTCGTGCTAGGGGTACTGATAACTTATTATGACCTCGTTATTGCAACATTTTACATGATTTTTTTTCTGGTGGTATTACTTCGCTAAAGTGATAACCCTAGTCATTGAACAACTCAGCACATGCTCACCATATGTTAAGGTCGACACCCTTCGCACAAAATCACTGTTTCATTCGTAATAGTTCTTATTTCCTGAACGATAAAGTCGTGATTACCTTCAATGAAAGAAACAATTGCAAACAAATCATACCAATCTTGTATGAGAATTTCAATAACAAGGACTTGCCATTCCGAACAAATCGCTTATAGGACGATGAATTTCTACTTTCTCGTAGGTCTTGCTAATAAATGAAAACAAACATTGAATTTAATTGGTAGGGAAAAAGCTTTTACTTGTAAGCGATTGAATTATTTAATTTATTATAATTGTAGTGATACAAGCTGAGTATTTTAAATAGTAGCCCTTTCTTTCTAGACAAGTGCAAGCGCATTTAGTTATTGATGGTTATCGAGGAGGAAAGAGATTCTAAGCTGCGGTCTCGAGTTCGCATAATACGCTATTTTTGCTCTTAAAACTTAATCAATTCGTCTGGTCAAACTCCTTGTCAAGCGAACCTTACACTTAACGAATACTACCGGGCTTGTAGTCCAACTTTTACTATATCCATTTCAAAGTAAAATGTGTTAATCGAGCTGGAAAATGTAGTGTCCGAACCCAACATCATGGGAGAAATTAAAGCAGCTAGACTTCGCTGGCTCGGACATGTAGAGAGAATGGGAGAGGATCGAGCAGTGAAAAGAGCGTATTTGGGGCGACTGATTGGACGACGGCCCGTTGGACGTCCCAGATACCGCTGGAGCGACGAGGTGCAGAGGGACTTGCAGTCTTTGGGTGCCGACTGCTGGCGGGACCTAGCCCGGGATCGCAGAGCATGGCGTCATCTTGTGTCGGAGACCAAGATCCACTTTGGATCGTTGCGCCACAACAGTAAGTAAGGAAGTATTTCAAAGTTAAAGCAGTGTGATATATGAGGAGCTGGCGAACAAAACGGTATAATTACGCGTATGGTCAAACTATATTTTTTTTACAGTCCGGAGGTTTCGGGCTCCTTGAATAGAATTTCAAATAATGTTCAACCAAAACCGCTTAAAACTGTGTTAAATATACTAAATTTATAAATTAAAAAAAAAACCGGCCAAGTGCGACTCGGACTCGTGCACCGAGGGTTCCGTACAAACTCAATTAAATACCTCTACGCGTTCATGAGAAAGAGGTAGTAGAGGTTTTTTCTAGTAAACTTTTCTTTAGATTTAAACATCTAGCAGTTAAATGCTTAAAAAATAAATAAAATCATAACTATAATTGCTATTTCTTCTTTCAAATGTTTAATACTTGAAAAAGTATTCATTTGACATTGTAGGTAACCCACAATGCGAAGAGATGGCGCTGCCTTGCAGCTTAAGGCTAGGAAAATTTCGACGCGGCTAATAGGGCCGTGGTAGCATAATGGTCAGTGCATTCGCCCGGATAGCGAAGGATGCGGGTTCGAGTCCCGTCTGCTGCCTGGTCCGCGTGGATTTTTTTTTTCTAGTAAACCTTTCTTTAGATTTAAACATCTGGCAGTTAAATGCTTAAAAAATAAATAAAATCATAAGAGGTAGTAACTTTAAAATTCTCAAAAATATTTTTTATTATATGATGTAACTAAAAAATTACGGTTCTCGCAATTTTTCCTTTTTCTGTACTATAAGACGTTACTTCGTACCAATTTTCAAGATACTAAGTTCACGGGAAGTACCCTGTAGGTTTTGATTCCCGTGCGAGTTTCGAAAATTTGCGGTAATTTGCGGCATAAACGGCTGTATCTTTTGATTGCTTTGGTTTAGAAGTTTGATTTTTTCACAGCTCCAAGGGACAGTATACATGAGTATTAAATATGAATTTCAGTTTGATACCTCCACGCGTTCCTGAGAAAAACGGCCTTGACAGACAGACGAACGGACAACAAAGTGATCCTATAAGGGTTCCGTTTTTTCCTTTTTTAGGTACCGAACCCTAAAAACCATGCCAAAAGCAACGCAAAAAAGCAAAAACGAAATGCAAAAAATAAATGAACCCAACCGAAGTAATAAATGAAAACTCAAATCTATCAGTCATTCATGGCACCGACTCCAAATATTAATATGATGTTATTTTTTGCTTTTCAGTTTGTTCACCGTTTTATTTTTTTGTAAAAACAGTTTTTATTTTATATTTTTTTTTGGCTAAGTATAATTTTCTAATAACAAATCAGCATCAAAATCTGTGAATGAACAATCGTCCGTATTTACCTACTCTTAGTGTAGGATTTTTGTTTACATTTTTATCTGGGACTAACTTCGAAGTATCTATAAAAAAAAAGAATCATCAAAATCTGACGGATTCATCAGATTTGACTGAAGTTTTTTACTTCAGTCAAATGCGAAGTCATACATTGCGATCTGAAAGAACAATCAATCATCCCCAGTTTTTCTACCCTTAGGGTTGGATTTTTTTCACATTTATATAGGACCAACCAGTGGGTATACTCTTTCCATAAAAAAAATGTGTGCTTATTCCCTCCTTCCTACGATCTGGGGCCCTTTAAGAGAGGCATGAAGAAGCATTTTTGCAGGCCGGCAAGGTGAGGATGGTTGGTGTGGCAGTTTATAACTGCTGTACCAGCTATCTTCGCGTTTAGACTTTATCACCACTTAACATCAGCTGGGGTAGAGTCATTTGCCTACCTGGCTATAAAAAAAATCAAAATCGGACTTCTCATACTTACATATAAAATATATACGCATCAACTAGAGAGCCTCCTCCCTTTTTTATTCTTTGGTTAAAAAATATCCTGAATCCAACTGTAGCGCCTATTACCGGGTCCAGTTATGAATCTTAACCATCCACACTAAACTCAAATGCACACATAAAAGCCGTGCAAGCCGTGGAGCAGTTTAATTACAGACACTCGGACAGACAAAATACATGATAATAAGATTAGGTGGAGTAGTCCTAACGATTCGTACTACTGGTAGGATCGCGGTATTCCAATATGTTCTAATGGTCCTACTAGACTCGGACGATTATGTATCCGTGGTCCTACTGGACTCGGACGATTATGTATCTGTGGTCCTACTGGACCAGCCCCCCTAGCATGACTAACAAAACGCGATATGATAAAGCGATTTATCGACACTCAACTGTCAAACTCCATAGTAGTTTGACAGTTAATGTCGATAAATCGCTTTATCATATCGCGTTTTGTTACTCATGCTAGGGGGGTAGGGCGATAAGTGTTACAATTGTTGGTAAGCCTTTTAATAAATAAATAAATTAATTAAATGTTGCTGTCCACAGTGTTCCACTATATGAGTCTTACTGAACTAAGGCGATTAGATATTTTTACTGAAAAATAAGCTGTTAGGACCAGGAATCTGACGAATGTATCGGAATCCCCACAGTCTACCTCTATGTACCCGTGATCCTACTAGCTAGAGCGATTGTTTAATCAATGTCTTACTGGACTACAACATTTATGTATTCGTGGTTCTGCAGCTCGGCTGGGAAGATTACATGTTGCTGTCGAAATGGAACACTATCCTCGCGTATAGACAATTATTTAGTTCTTAACGTTAGCGGCGCGTAGGAGGTGAAGCCTATCAGCCAAGTCTTTAGGCACATCCAGGTAGCTTCGCTCCAGGCCTACGGTGAGCAACATCGCTCGCAGGCGGTCTACCGGTTGTACGCCAAACTTTGGTAAAACATGCTGTCCTATCTATGACTTGTACCAACTGTAATTACCATGTTTTGAGCAAATAAAAATTCTTATTCTTCTATTCTTACCAAAATATAGAAGATAAAATGCACGTAGCGCCAACTATTCAATTTACTATAGTGGAGCCACGTTATACTAATTTGTACCCATGTTCCACTGGGCTAAGGGGATTATGTACCCGTACTCCTACTGGGCTAGGATGATAATTTACCATGGTCCTACTGGGCTAACTCGACTAGATGTTACTGCCAAAATAAAACTAAGTACTGTTACTAGGACCACGGATTACCACTACGTGCCCGTGATCCTACTGTACTAGAGTAATTAGATGTTGCTGTTGAAATGAAACACTATCTTCGCGTATAGATATTTATTTAGTTCTTAACGTTAGCGGCGGGCGGGAGGTGAAGCCTATCAGCCAGGTCTTTAGGCACATCCAGGTAGCTTCGCTCCAGGCCTACGGTTAGCAGCAGAGCTCGCAGCCGGTCTACCTCCACGCGGTCGCCTTCGCTCGACCATACTGTCATCGAGGAGTTCAGGTATGCCGTTTCACGGAGCAGGTCTAGCAGTACTGGTTGGCTGTTGGATGCTATGCCGGCTCGGACCTGGGAATTTGAAAGGGATTTTAATAGAAAACTTCTTAGTACACAAGCACAGCTCCTCGCCACCTGATGAAGATTTAGTTTGAATTCAGTCTTGTTGTAAAGACAGCCAGGTTTCTTCAAGTGTTATTATATTTTTATTTTAAGCATTTAATTGCTGGACGTTTGAATCTAAAGAAAATTTTACTATAAAAAATTCCACTCGACCCAGGTTTCACCCGGATGGTGGAAGATGCAGGTTCGAGTCCCGTCTGAAACCAAGATCCAGTGGATTTTTTTTCTAGTTACATTTTATGTACATGTCAACTTGAGGTCTCCTATATCTCTACACCGAAATTCATCAAAATCTATTTTGCTGTTTAGGCGAAACGGACTCGAAAGTGACTAAATTAATTTTGCAATAGTATGAATTTTATAACATCATCATCATCAGCCTATTAATGTCCCCACTGCTGGGGCACAGGCCTTCCCTAGGGATGGAATAGGGAGATTGGGCCATGACCCACCACGCGGGCCCAGTGCGGATTGGCGGGTGTTAACGACTGCAGGTGCAGCCGGGACCAACGGCTTGACGTGCCTTCCGAAGCACGGAGGAACTCGAGATAGAAGATTTTTGGTCACCCATCCAATGATCGACCACTGCGAAAGTTGCTTAACTTAACGATCGCAGCCGAACGCGCTAACCGCCTGCGCCATCGAGCTCCTCATTTCGAGGATTTTATAACACAAACAACTAACTCAACGTTTTCTCGGAATAAAACATCTTTATTTAAACACAAAGAGGCATGTTCCAAGCAGTTTAATAGTCTGCCCGACTAAAAGTGAAGTTACTTGATGTGACAGTTGAGCGAAGTAATTAACACGTCTAGGTTGAAATATGATCGCCGCTTGCCAAACGTTAGATAAGACAGCAGCAGAGCAAATGAAACTGTTAGGAAATGCCACAATGTCCCACGCACACGCCACCTAATTGGTAGAGCAGTAGGACACGTTGATAAGAAATGGGGATAATACCTTTGTGTTAGGAATCAGACTAACGTTTTGTATACTAGATGGCAGGAATAACTTATTGAATCGCGCTATCGTTTTGTTTTTATGTAAACATAAGTATTTTATTTAGTGGCAATAAATGTTCTCTCGCTGTTTAAAATTTTTACAGGTGTTTGATTCATATAGCTAGTTCCACCTTCTTTTTGGGTCACTAAACACTTTGAATCTGGAATTTATTTTTAACTGTCCTCGTGGACTTTGGGTAAAAAACTAATATTAATTAAGGGCCAGCGTTATAATTCAAATAACTTTTTTGTTTGTTAAATAAAGTTGCACAAACATTTTTAATCCAAATCTAAACACTATCCAGCTTCAAATATCACTTCGTTATTAGCAACTACACACATCAAAAGTGTCTAGGGATCAAGCATTTTTATGCGGATTTCTTGAGATTGAGATGTGGCTTTGTAATAAATTTATGATTTTATAAATTTATATGGATCCTTTTTGGTGCATTTCATAATTTGAATCAGGAACTGTGAATCAAATTCGAGTAAAAGATGAAAATCAGCTGTCAATATTTTCCCTATAAAAACATACAACGCATTGAAGACATTATTAGTGCTACTGTTTCCCTACTACTGATTAAAACCAACGTTATTATGGAGCGGCGACGTCATTTAAGCAGGGAAGAAATGCTCAGAGCCGTGGGAATGATAGAAGCTGGTTCCCGGCAACGTACTGTGGCTTTAGCTCTGAATACAAGTCAGAGTGTTATCAGTCGACTTTGGACACGATACCGAAGCACTGGTACCGTGGCTGAGCGCCATGGAGGACGGTATCGCTGCACCACACGGAGACAAGACCGATACATTCAAATCTTAACTCGAAGAGCTCCAACAATAACCGCCATGATGTTAGCCGTGAGGCTTCATCACTCTTCAGGGAACTTAATTAGCGACCAAACAGTCAGAAACCGCTTGCATGAAGTGAACCTTCATTCCCGAAGACCGCTACGGGTACCACCTATAGCAATGCACAATCGTAGGATTCGATATCAATGGGCTCTTGAACACAGAAATTGGGCAGAAGAACAATGGCGTTTCGTGTGCTTTTCTGATGAGTCTCGTTTTGGTATGAGACCGGATACAAGACGTATACGACACTGGAGAACCCCTGGACGCCAACAGCGATTAAAATCCTGCCAGGAAGTCCATCCTTATAGTGGTGGAACCATCATGGTATGGGCGGGTATTTGGATCGGCGGAAGAACTGAGTTGATTTGGATCAGAGGCAACCTCAACGCTCAAATTTATGCTGAGACGATTGTATCAGACGTCATCGTTCCTCTACAAGTGCAAATCGGTCCCTTATTTCAGTTAATGCATGATAATGCACGACCGCACACCGCAAGAGTTGTAAGACAGACTCTCGCCGCAGCTAACATCAATGTCCTGCCCTGGCCTGCTCAGTCGCCAGACTTGAACCCGATTGAGCATGCATGGGATATGCTACAGAGAAGAGCTCTGCCGAATATGGAGGGTATCCAGTCGCAAGAAGACCTTTTTTTGTTGTTGCAACGAACATGGGCGGCCATTCCACAGCGTGATTTGGATGAACTCATTTTGAGTATGCCAAACCGATGTTCTTGTGTTGTTAGTGTTCGCGGTAGAAATACGGATTATTAATTGTTTAAGTTACCCAATAAAATTTTAGAGAAAACTGTTATTTCAGTCTTTTTTTCGAACTTTTGTGTTAGTGGTTCAAATGTCAAAAATCCCTTTATTAGGAAAATGGCAAATTTCTTTATTAATGCAAAGGTGACTTGGTTTATCGTTACTGTGACAAACGAAAACACTTTATTTGATGAATCCTTAAAGAAAATTTTAATTAATACCAATCAGGAGAAAAGTTATTGCAAAAATATATGTTGATCCCTAGACACTTTTGATGTGTGTATTTGCATTCAGAAAAGACCGAATGCGGTACAAACAAGACTTTATTTTTATTTTCATGTAAAATATTGGTGCAGGTAGGCTCAAATGTTACATAGAGCTTGCCAAAATGCAGCAGTTAAAACCTTTCGAATCGGTAAAGCCGTGAAACGTACAGTACAAAGTATAAAAGTGCTATTAACTATTATTCATGCCTTGAGATTTCAATACAAAAACACCATACCAAGTCCCGCAATATTTTCACGTTTTCTAGTGGATTTACAGAAAGAATCAAGTTTTCATTTAGAACATTCCACTTGCATTATGTGCAAAGGAGGTCCAACAAGTGTTCTGTGTTATTGCGAAGCGGAGACAATTAAAACAAGTATGTATGCGCGCATGCGCTTGCGCAGACTAGGCGACCTTCTGCCGTTTCCTCGTTATGTTTCCCGCTAGTCCAATTGTTCAATCAGGGGATCCCCCACAATTAAACAAGTCTATTTATAACGATGACTTGTATCGTCTGCCACTTGCACAACACCCCTGATATATGCGCCATGGGATATTGAAATATGAAACTGTTTGGACACTTGTGGGTCATCCTCTAAAATTGTGTCATCATCATTTTCGTCTGCTTATTTAACACGTTAGTCTTCATCATCAAAATTGGGGATGTTATTATTGAATATTTTATAGTCGTCCATTAGTAGTTCTTGTATCATCGCCACGTTTAACTCCTAAGTAGGGGCAATGAAATTGAAATTGAAAACTTCTCGTCAGTTTTTTAATAACACGGATAAAAGCTTCTCTGAGTCTTGCTTGACGCTTTGCTTTTTGCGGTACACATTTTAAAGTAACCTTTCCTTTCTTCCATTTATAGGGAAGGTCTGTGCCTCAGCAACAACATTGACAGGCTGCTGCCCCTGGTATGATTTTCTATCGCTTCTTTATTAACTATTACATTTCTCACCGTTAAATCATTTTTATAATATTAAGAATTGAATTTCATTGGACTTTGAAAAATAACTTTTATTAAGGATACAGGATTTATCGTGGAAATTAAGATGAGTTATGGCCCATTATTCCTCTGCGATTCGTCTATTGAGAAGTTTTGACATTGGTGTCGATTCTAGCATGATTCTCTAAACCTAAACTTAAATTTGACAGCAGTATATCCTTGTCATTCTCTATACAGAATGAAAAGGAGAGACTGATGTCAAATTTAGTTTTAAGTTTAGAGAATCACGCCAGAATTGGCACCATTATATGTATATCTTGATGTTCTGCATATTGCAACAGCAGTGAAAATAAAAATAGACAAATAACAATAGGACCATTATGATGGCATTATATATCCTTCACTCACCGGGAATGTGACAGTCTGGTTGATGTGATTCTCATGAAGTTTCCTGAGCATGGTGCCTATATGTTCGCGGCTGTATTCTCCCTCTGTGATGTTGCCGCCATAGTTGGTGGTCCAGCCCACTGAGAGGACACAGCGAGGATGCTCCGCGGACAGCTTCAGGAACTTGTCAGCATCCACCGGCTTGGTGGTGGCCTTCACTGGACCAGGCAAGATGTCAGCGTTCAACCACAGCGGGAAGGAGGACACCTGATGATATTAACATAAGGCCTTTGATTATTGTTGAAGTTATACTTCTTTAGGCGCGTTATGAAAAAATGATGAGAGTGAAATTTTAAGATGCGCGCGCATCACTGTAACACAAAAATTAACTTACTTGGCATCGTTTAAAATTAGTTTTTAATTGCATGCAAATAATTAATTACAATAAATGAATAAAAAGTCTGGAAAAGGACACAGTCAATAAAGTTCAGTATTAATTTGAAAAAATAAATAAATAATCAAAATATTCAATTAAAATCGCTACTGAATATAATTTATTAGAACATATGTGATTTGCACTTGTATGAAACTCAAACACGTATTCCGAATATACAAACTAGAAACATGTGGATAAATATTATAAATATGAATACCTATAACTGTTACTTTATTACAAAAAATAAAGATGTGGTTTTTGGTTCTACTACACCAATGGTCAAGAGATGGCGCTGTAGTCTCCTGAATCGCGCTTTGGTTCCGTTGTTCCAGATTAATAAATACTTTTGATAGGCCTTCACAATGCAGTCGTTAGCACCCACTAAATAGAAATTCTATTTCTATTTTGTTGGTAGATTTTGTTATTGTGCGGTAAACACAAAAGTAATAGATCGCTAAAGCGACCAACTTCATGCTGTTAAAATTTTGTGTTACAGTGATGCGCGCGCATCTTAAAATTTCACTCTCATCATTTTTTCATAACGCGCCTAAAGAAGTATAACTTCAATAATCGACTAAGTGCCATAATGAAATGGTGGTATCTTAATTAAATCTCATTGAAGTACGAAGACTATAAAAAAATGAAAGCAGCACTTGTGTGGGGCAGGATATGGACACTTTCGCCTCATCAGCGAGATCAAAGGACGGCGCGCGCGCAATCGCAGCCGGCGATGAGACGCAGTGGGAGCAAGTGCGTTCCGCGCATATTTGCAGAAATGTTTTTCCTACACCTACTCAAAGAAGCTTCGTGTGGCTTTTAGTCCAGTCAATAAGTTGAAAAACGTGAAAAATAGAGATAAAGCTCCTAAAAATATGAGCAATAGCTCTTTGGATTTGGAATGACCTCTAGAAAAGGAAGTTTTGAGGATTTTGTAAGATTTTTTAAAAAGGTTTTTTTTGTGGCAACCTCACGGTTCACAGACAATATTTTTCCGTATTTTTCAAAAATAAAACTTATTTTTATATTTTTTAATTTTTAAGCATGTGTAACTGCTAGATGTCTAATTCCAAAGAAAATTTTACTAGACAAAACTTCACACCCTTCGCTATCCGGGCGAATGCACTGACCATTAAGCTACCGCAGCACTGATAGTAGTGTCGAATTTTCACTAGCCTTTCTTAAGCTGCAAGGCAGCGCCATCTCTTTGTATTGTAGGTTACCCACAATTTCAAATATTTAATACTTGTAAATGTATACAAGTATTATATATTTGGAAGAAGAAATTAGAATAATAATCATATTTTTATTTTTCGCCTCGTTGTAGAGCTGAAGTGTAGACTACAGTTTTTGTTCTCAGGCTTCTATTATACACAATGACATTCATCTATGATTCTTCTTATACCTGCATGCAAAGTCTCAGCCCGATCGGTTTAAAATTGACAAAGTTTCATACAAACTTTCATTCCCTATTTTATCCCCTTGGGGGTAGAATTGATCAAAATCCTTTCTTAGCGGATGCCTACGTCATAACATCTACCTGCATGCCAAATTTCAGCCCGATCCGTCCAGTGGTTTGGGCTGTGCGTTGATAGATCACTATGTCAGTCAGTCAGTCACCTTTGAGTTTTATATATATAGATGTGTTATATTTCACTGTTTGGTTACTGATCCCTGATTTTTATTTCCATTAAGCATAAATAGAAGAACAATGGATGCTGTCCACATTCAATAATGAGTTGGAGTGGCTTCCGTATATTGTGTTGATGTAACAGCACACAATATGTCTTTCCGCAGTTTTAAACTTGTTAAAATAACGTTTACTTTCATTCTCGGCGACTTTACATACAAAGTGTATGTGTATGTATAGAAATTATATAAAAAAATATACTTAATGCTTCGTCCGAGGAGATTAGCTTGATTCAGGGCCGGATCTACCATATGGCTTTTTGGGCCCCAGGGCCCCGTGGATTCAAGGGCCCCACAGCTAATTTAAGTCAAAGCCAAAAATAGACGATAATGCAAAAGAATCTATACTTTTATTAAAGTAGCAGATATAATAAATTCAAAATAGATGTCTAAAGTTGAACTAGTGATTCACTAAAGAAAGAAAATTAAAATTATTTTCTTTAAAGCAGTAGATTCGATGATTAAAAGTACATTCAATGTAGAGAAAATACATTGTTGAATGTAACCCCATTTATATTACCCCTAGAATGTGAGGATCTAATTAAAGAATTTGCCATGTCTGCACTTTGAAGAAAGGTTGCTTTGTAATTTGTCAATTTATTAACAGTAGTATAATACTAAGGCATCATCATCATCATCATCATCGACCCATGCTCGTCCACTGCTGGACATAGGTCTCCCCTAATGCACGCCACTGCTCCCGATTTTCTGCCACTCTCATCCAGCCCACTCCAGCCAGCCTACGAATGTCATCATCCCATCTTGTCTAATATAATATATCACTAAGGCATAATATAATATAAATATTTTACTGTCTCATTTTTTTCTACACTTTGAGTAATTAGGTGGGCCCCAAAATAGTATTAGTCCAGGGCCCCTTAACTCACGGTCCGGCTCTGGCTCGATAAACACATGTAGTACGCGAAGCACACGCCATTTCACAGTATATTGAGAACGAATGAGCGAAGAAAAATAGCAGATGTATTTCTACTGGCAAAAATCGCTCAAAGTCTCATTGACTCGCCGGACGCACTAACAAAAATAGGTATAAAAATCCCTAACAAAACCGTAAGGCGATTTGTACATTTAGATGTTCCCCAATGTGGTACTAATTACAGACAAAACTCTTTTTTCGTAAGGTCTGCTAAAGAAACTAACAAATTAGTAATTTTCCCCCAACTTGACTTATTTATAACTAAACCACAAATACTTAAAAATATCTTAGTCAGTTCTTGGTTTGCTGATTCTCAAACTGCCTAGCTTAATTAATGCATGCTTTAAGCGTCGCTTGCTGTTATATCTCAATTATCTCTAGTCTTATTACTTTCCTGTATTTTTCACTTGGCACTGCTTGTATGGTTTCAGCGACGAGCTTTGTATTGTTAGTCATATGCGAAAACGTGTTAATGGTGTCTAGATTTACATTTAGTTATAATTGCTGTTAAAAAAAACACTGTACGTTTTCCGAATAAAATAAAAATAAAAATATTAAAAATAACATAAATAAATAAAATATTAAACTAAAAAGAATAACGTATTTGTTTCTTAGGTTTTTACGCACACCATTCATAAAATAAAACAAGTTTCCACGGTATATCTATACCATGCATCTGCACTGATTTATTTATTTAATTCTGACGAATACAGACGACGCATCCTTTTCAGGATGCGAAACGTCAATACATTTCGACCAAGACCAAGTTTGCTGCAAATAGTTTCATCTCTAGAGCATGTCACAGCTATAATAAATACTTCAGGGGATTGGATATATTTTGCCTTTCTTACAATCAATTTAGAAATGAATGCTATAAGGTTGTTTTACCCTAACACTTTGTAATTATTTTCTTATCATAAATTTTGATAATCATGTTTATTCTATTCACTTATCTCTAAATATTGTACGTAACTTTAAGTAAATTATGTAAGTGTATGAATGTTTCAGTCTGTGGAAACATAACTGGTTTATGAAAAAGTTATAAGCGTTACTTAATTGAATTGTGTAAAACTGTATGTTTTCCAAATGAAAATAAATAAATACATAAATTAATCAGTGCATCTATACCATAGACACTTGTTTCAGTAAAAAAAAAAAAAAGAATTTTGACGTGACAACGTCTTAAATTAGGTTGCGGCTGGGAGTCACTTATGAAAAAGTGTAACGCTCGGTAACGTTACGATGAGTCTCTCGTGTTAAGTTTAAGTTTACATGTACAATGTTTTAGTAAACAAAATATATTTCTATAGTTAAAATTTGTGCAATTCTTATTTTCATTCAATTCCTTGTTCCTATTGTGCAATTTAATTATATTCATATCAATAAATATTCTACCGAGAAAAAGACGTTGTCACGTAAAATCTTCGCCCGTAAAACCGACTTTACAGGCAACCATTTTTTTTTCGTTTTTTTTTTTAATTTGGAATGTGGGTAGGATTCACTTCACTTCACACTTCTTCACTTTTTCACTTTAGGTAAGTTAGTCTAATCTCTAAAATATTTCAGAAAAGAATGTAACTGATCTTCCACCCTACCGCTTTTTTTTTGTCGGAACTCACACCTGGCTCCCGCAGTGGACACTAAAGACCCCGTAACTCTTACGGGCGCTTTACGGTATCATATCCACTAAAAAAACCTGCGAATACCTTCAACGCTGCTCCATGCGAAGCCGTGGTCCCCGTTATTCCACCCTCATCATCATCAGCCTATTAATGTCCCCACTGCTGGGGCACAGGCCTTCCCTATGTATGGAATAGGGAGATTGGGTCATGACCCGCCACGCGGGCCCAGCGCGAATTGACGGGTGCTAACGACTGCAGATGCAGCCGGGACCAAAAGCTTAACGTGCCTTCCGAAGCACGGAGGAGCTCGAGATAATAAATTTTTGGGCACCCATCCAATGATATTGATTTTTTAGTTGATATTGCACCCTACCCCTAGTTTAATATATCTATTGGTAGGTTAGAACAGCTTTCTATCACTGAATCACCGACGCTTGTTGATAAGGTCTGAATATTAATAATAATTAAAGATGCGACATACTAAAGATGTTTGTTAATATTTGTAGCAATGTCATAAAATGTTCACTTTAAAAAAATACTTGTCCTTGCTCGAGAAGGAGGTACAAAATTTTTCTATCTGTGAACCGTG